GGTATAGAAAGTACGCTTATTAAGTTTGCAGATGATACCAAGCTGGGAGGGGTTGCGACTAATCTGGAGGATAGGGTCATAATTCAAAATGACCTGGACAAATTGGAGAAATGGTCTGAGATAAATAGGATGAAGTTTAATAAAGACAAATGCAAAGTGCTCCACTTAGGAAGGAACAATCAGTCTCACCCATACAGAATGGGAAGCGACTGTCTAGGAAGGAATGCTGCAGAAATGGATCTAGGGGTCACAGTGGACCACAAGCGAAATATGAGTCAACAGTGTGACGCTGTTGCCAAAAAAAAAAAAGCAGCAAACATGATTCTGGGCTGCATTAACAGGAGTGTTGAGAGCAAGACATGAGAAGTCATTCTTTCGCTCTACTCTGCTCTGATTAGGCCTCAGTTGGAGTATTGTGTCCAGTTCTGGGCACCGCATTTCAAGAAAGATGTGGAGAAACTGGAGAAGGTCCAGAGAAGAGCAACAAGAATGATTAAAGGTCTAGAGAATATGACCCTCGAAGGAAGGCTGAAAGAATTGGGCTTGTTTAATTTGGAAAGGAGAAGATTGAGAGGGGACATGAGAGCAGTTTTCAGGTATCTAAAAGGGCATTACAAGGAGGAGGAAGAAAAAATTGTTCTCCTTGGCCTCTGAGGATAGGACAAGAAGCAATGGGCTTAAACTGCAACAAGGGAGGTTTAGGTTGGACATTAGGAAAAAGTTCCTAATTGTCAGGGTGGTTAAACACTGGAATAAATTGCCTAGGGAGGCTGTGGAATCTCCATCTCTGGAGATATTTAAGAGCAAGTTAGACAAACATCTATTAGGGATGGTCTAGACGGTACTGGGTCCTGCTACGACGGCAGGGGACTGGACTCAATGACCTCTTGAGGTCCCTTCCAGTTTTAGTGTTCTAGGATTCTAAGTTATAGCTATGACAAACGTACAGCCTTGGTCGAAAGCTATGAACCCTTCGACACTACTGCCCTGGGAAAAACAGTAAGAACATTTACCTGTCAAACACGTTACAACGGCCTGGTTACACAAAGGAGTTAGATGGTGTGATGCTGACCCTCACAACGGCGAACTTTCAGGTGCTGGGGAAAAATCACTAGGATTCACAAAACCTGAGTCAAGCGCCCAGGTTCCCTATGCGGTGAATGGCAAGGGAGACAGACACCTCCGAATGGGATTCACAAAAGCCAGCACACTGGGCAGGGAGCTGCCTAAGCTAGCCAAAGGAGATGCCAGGGAGAGGGGAGTACTCTTTGGTCTACTCCTCCATTCAGTAGGTGGTCTTCTGGATATGCTTTTCCTGAATGGCTAGGGAGATGGCTACCCGTCTCTGCTGGAGATTCACAGCAGGAGTCTTCTTTAGTCAGGCACTCATGCAGTTCTGCAGGTAGCCAGAGGAGGGGAAAGGATTTGAATAAAGAATGCTCGGAACACCGAACTCCAGGATGACTGATATGGGGTTCCCCCAGTCTCTCCTATGGAAGCTGTTCCACTGTGGCCAGATAACAAAAGAGCAATTGAAGCAGGATGACTGGCCAAGAGGGTCTCCCATCTCCGGCCCTAACCTCAGTAGTCAGAGAGAGATTGAACTACATATCCACAATTTCAACAACTTTTATCCTACCAACCACCTCAGCCTGGACCAGTCCACACGAGAGATCCACTGTCTTGACACTACAGTGCAGTTACATGATGGACGCATTTCCACCACCATATACTGGAAACCTACTAACCATTACACTTACCCTCGTGCCTCTAGCTTCCATCCAAAAGATTTCTCAATCTATTGTTTACAGCTCTAAGATACAACTGCATTTGCTCCAATCCCACAGAGACAAACACCTACAGGATCTGCATAGAGCATTCTTAAAACCGAAATATCCACCCGGAGAAGTGGAAAAACAGATCGACAGAGCCATACAAGTTCCCAGTCATCAGCTACTTCAAGACAGGCCCAGAAAAGAAAACAGGAACCACTTATCACCTACAGCCCACAACTTAAACCCCTCCAATGTATCAATCAGCAATCTACAACCTATCCTGGAAAATCACAGAATCCTACGGCTAGAAGAGACCTCACGGCTGGAAGAGACCTCATGACCCCTCACACTCTCACAGGCCTTGGGGGACAGTCCAATCCTCGCCTACAGACAACCTCCTAACCTCAAACAAATTCTGTCCAGTAACCACACAGCACACCTCCACCGTACTCACCCAGAAACCCACCCCTGCAATCAGCCCCGGTGCTAACTCTGTCCACACATCTATACAAGCGATATCATCCCAGGACCTAACCACAAACCACCACATCAGAGGCTCATTTGACTGCACATCCACCAATGTGATCTATGCCATCAAATGCCAGCAATGCACAGAAACCTGTTGAGGAACAATTTAACTTGCCCAGGGCACTCATTAATGTATCTCAAAGTCACCCCATTGTTTCAGGACAATTTCACAAGCCAACTCCACAGGGAAGCCTTAGAACTTAACTTCATTTACAAGTTTGATTCCTATAACAGAGGTATGAATAAAGACATTGGCTGGATGGCCTGCTACATTCTATATCCTAATGACATAAAAGACCAAACAATTAGTGCCTTCTCTAGCAGCTTCATGTAGCATGGACACTAATCAACTATTTCTTTCCCACCCTTTTTTTTCTTTATTTTTTTTCTCCTCCTCCTCCTCTCTCCCCTCCCCCCCCCCCCTCCTTTAATAATGCCATTCATCTGAAGTGGGATGTGCCCACGAAAGCTCATGATACCATCTCCATGTCTTGTTAGTCTCCAAGGTGCTGCAAGACTATTGGTTGTTTTTCCAAGTATATCCACAATGGAACAGCTTCAAAAGAGACCTAAGGAGCCCCACATCACAGCATCTCATAGCTCAGTGGTCAAGAGCACCCAGAGGTGCCTGATCAAGTCTTCTCCCCACCCTCGGCAGACATAGGTAAATTGAACCTGTGTCTTCTGCGCCCCAACAAATGCTTCAAGCACCAAGCTAAAAGTTATAAGCTGGGTACCACGTCTTCTTTCTCCTGATGGATTGTGAGTGGGACCTGATCTGAGCACATCTACCGGATTGGGCCAGCATGGATCTTCGGTGGCTGAGCACCTAGCTTCCACTGGTTTGTGAATCACACTGGGGCTTATGTGGTATATACAGGTGCCTAGAACAGCAATCCCCAAACAATTGAGGGTTGCACCCCTTTTTATCCCTATCCGTTCCCCTCCAGGGCCGGAAGCAGGGCTGCTGCTCTGGGGGTGGGAACAAAGCAGATGGCCTCTGTCCATGGCCCCACACTAGGCCCCGGACAGGGGCCAAGACTGGGAGCAGGAGCAGAGATGCAGCCGGGCTGGTGGTCAGGTGCAGTTCTGCTCCTGGCTTTGGTCCTGGGCCAGGAACAGAGCTACAGCCAGCAGCTAAAGCTAGCATGGGACCAAGAACAGCGCTGCTCGGAGGCTGGGGGCAAGGAGGGAATAGGTGGCACTCTCTCCCTGCCCCACGGGATGGGTCTAGGCCCACTGTACCTTTCTCAGACTTTCCTCTACACTGTGGAGACTACGGGCCCAGAGGGAAACAGCAGCGTATGTGCCCCCGGAGGCAGGAAAGCAGACACCTGGGAAATTTTACCCTAAAAATGTAGATGCCGAGTGAATTTAGGATCATAAAGGGTTCAGAAAGAATTTTGTGCTTTGCAGTGGAGCCAAACCTGGGGCCTGGGTGCCTTTCTCCTTTTTTACATTCAGACCAAGAACTCTTACACCAAGATAGCTGCCACTACTTCTATGTAGCTGGCCCAGCGCTTCTTGGAGCTATTTCTGTTATGAGTTCTTTACCTTTTTAAGATGACCTAGTCGGAGTTTGAAGATTTCTTCCTGTTCATGATATTCAGCTAACGTTAACCTGTGTACACAAGAGAACATTGTCAGACACATATCCAACACATTTGTAAGCACAATATTTGTTAGAGGTTTCCAGTAGCCATGTTGGTTTAAACAGGACTACTCAAGGGAGAGGAAAAAAAGCTTAAATGCAGCCAATACTGGTATGTATAACAGAATTCCTATCCAGCAGATGGAGAATTTTCAGTGTACCACATGAAATATACACCAACTTAATCTGCTCAGCTATAGGAAAGAACAACTGATCGATGGACTGAAATTTGTACATCACATTCTACAATATTTCTCATATGAAGATAGTGCTCAAGTCTGGACATGCTGTAACAGAGCACTGCACGTGTCTGAAGTCTTATTTCATGGGACATTTAATATGCTAAGATTTACTCCTAACAAAGAAAGCAAAGGAAAGAGACTGTAAATATTGAATGACAAGTCAGAAACCTTCACTTCTTGAATGTTCTGATTTGTAGTCTCCTATAAACAACCACCTAACCTCAAGATGATTCTTACCAACCACCACAGGACATACCACACTAATACCAACCCTGGTACCTTCCCTTGCAACAAACCCCGTTGCCAGCTTTGTCCACATATTCATTCTGCTGATACCATTATTGGACCCAACCAAGTGAGTTATAAGATCAAGAACACATATCCCTGCGCATCCAGAAATATAATCTACGCTATCATGTGCCGAAAGTGTCCGTCTGCTATGTACATTGGACAAACATCTCAGACACTTCGCCAAAGGATTAATGCCCACAAAACAGATATCAGACAAGATCACAAAGAGAAAACAGTTTCTTGCCACTTTAACCAGAAAGGACACTCTCTAAATGACTTAGCCACCTGCATTCTGCTACAAAGACCTTTTACATCTGCACTTGAAAGGGAATCCTCTGAACTGTCATTCATGTTAAAATTCGACACTTACCAACAAGGACTTAACAAGTCTTTGAACTTTCTCACCCATTACCAAGACAGTTTCCCCAATTATCACCTGTAATACCATTAACTCACAAACATCCCACTCTCCCTACCTTTAATATCAGCAATTCACAGACACTTACCTTCCTTCCTCCCCCTTCCCACCCCCCCGCATCCCCCTTCTGTTCTGCAATGTGATTTGTCCTTTTCATATTTGTTCATTTTTTTAAATTGTATCCTTTGGTATATATGGTTGTGACTACTTTCTTCCACTATTTGATCTGAGGAAGTGGGTCTGGCCCACGAAAGCTCATCATCTAATAAACCATCTTGTTAGTCTTTAAAGTGCTACATTGTCCTGCATTTTGGTTCTGATTTGTGTTATTTTTAAAATTTAACAGTGTTGGGAGGGGGAATTGTACTTTTTAAATTTATTTTATAGAAAACCTATTTAATCAAATCTCATTACAGGTCTACAGAGAACTACCCCCAGGACGCTATGTTACATGAGTTTCGAATTCTTCAGAACCCATTCTGGAGCCTACTACTGTTGTGCAGCTGTCAGTGTTATACCCACAGGATTTGTAAGTCGAGTGAGAGGGACAGGAATACATAGCTTATATTTTTTTCTTCTTGCTCCCCTAACAGAAGCCTCAACTCCCTCCCAACTTCTAGCTAGCCTCTCAGCTCCACAATGTTATGCTTCTTACTTCCCTAGCAGGCCAGCAACCATAGTGTTAGAAGGCAGTTCCACTCTCTCAGAGCTTCCTGCTGCTAACAGACATCTCTGTGCAGAACAGCTCTGGGGTACATGCCACATTTGGCCCATCTAGAGCTTCTGCTGTTCCTGTACACCTGCCAACATGCTGGAGACAGCCTGACATAGCAGAGGAGCAGACAAGGCAATTGCAGGATAGTGAGCAGTCTTGAAGGACCTTACAAATCCCAAACCGCCTTCCTCCACAAACATTTCCTGAAACAATAGCTAGCCCTTACAACATAAGAGCCAGAATTACTCAACTTCCTAGTTAATATGCCTGTTCCTCAGTATCTCTTAGTGATAGCTATTATTCTGCTGCAGTTGAACAGCAAGTACAATTGGAATCTGCCTGGAGTAAGCAAGCATTTAGTTCAATGCTCAGGATGTAGAAAATCCCCCTTACTGCGAAAGATCACTACACTCCAAATTAACATACAAACTGTACTAAAAATACAACCAATATTTTTATATTGACACAGGGACTCTGAACAAGAATATGTGAAATACTGGAGGTTCTTCCTTGGAGAACAGATTACAATACAAGCTCTCAAGAAACAAGATGACCTGCATTTAAAGCAGATCTAGTTAATCCAGCACTGCAACATCAAATCTACTTTGCTTTAAAGAAACCCTTCCAGTCTGAACACTTTTTAAGCAAGCTTTGACGACTGATTGTTAAGGCAGGATTTGGGGTACCTGAACAATTAAATAAGTCACGTGTGGACTGTAAGAGACACATGGACAGGGTTAAACAGTGACAGTCTGGCCATTCCAGGCAAGCAACAGAATGGCTCTCGCTGGACTAGTATTTCCAGAAACAGTTACATGCTAGAACCTAGTACAGGGGTGAGCAATCATTTTTGATGGGGAGAATTTCGCAACTGGTCAAGGGCTGCACTCTTCCAGGGCTTTAAAGGAGGTGGTGAGGAACTGGGATGGCAGCTGGGTGTAGGAGGGAGCTTGGGGTAAGAGACTTGGGGGGCAGGAAGGGATGCACGATCTGGAAGGGAGTTTGGATGAAGGAGGGGGTTGTGACGTGGGGCAGGAGACTAGGGTCCGGGGATTTGGGTACAAGGTCTTGGGAGAGGGTTATGGCCTGGGGCAGATGTGCAACAGTCTGGGGTGCAGAGTACAGGTGGAGGGAAGATAGTTGGGGAAGAGTGGGCTGGGGTGCCAGAGGCAGGGTCTGGCCAGGAGATGCTTACCTAGGTGGCTCCTGGCCAGCAGCCCAGCAGGTTCCTCAGCCTCACTCCCTGCCTTCCATGCCCCCACAGGCTGCTCAGAGCAGCTGGCTGTGGGGTCTATGTGCTGCTCCAAATGCTGAGAGTTACGGGGGAAAGGATACTTTGCATGCTGCCTATCCTGGAAACCAGCCAGTAGGAGCTGTAAGATTGTGCTGGGGACAGGGACAGCCCACGAAGCCTCTTTCCCCTTCCCCCGGGCTCACAGAAGCACATGGCCATTGCAGCAGGCTTCTCCGAGTGCTGTGTAGGGACAGGACAGACTAGCACAGCTACCCCTGAGACCTGTCACTCTAGCCAAGTTTACCAGGAGAGTGGGGAAGCTTGTATCTCTTACATACAGCAATATCTAGAGCCATGGGGAAAAGGCAGTGAAATATTGACTTCATCCCTGATTTGCTTCTGACTCCATCTGCTGCGTGAGAACTTTCATGTCAGTTAATATAGAGGTTTGTTTCCATAAGAACAAAAGTTTACATTATAATGAATCAGTTAAAATGTAGCTCATCCCAATTACACCAGTTGCTCCAGTTCATTTTGAAAGGAAGCTTTCAGTAGGCTAACAACTCCATCATGACCACATGCACTTGGTGCCAGCCAGCTTTACAACATGCTTCTAACACAGGGCTGGGCACCTGTTTATGGTGGGGAGCACTTCAAGGATTTGGGAAGTGGTCAAGGGCTGCACTCTTCCATTTATTAATAGAGAAGGTGCAGCGTCTGTGGTACAGGTTGGGTGCAGAAGAGAGCTTAGGGCAAGGGACAGCGGAGCAGGAAAGGGTGTGGGACCTGGAAAGGAGTTTGGGTGAAGAAGGGGATTGTGACAGGGCAGGAAACCGGGCTGCAGGGTCGAGGAGGGGGGTATGGGTGCAGGAAGAAGTGCAGGGTCTAGGAGGGGTGTCTGACCTGGGGCAGGAGTGCAGAGATAGTTTTCAATGTGCTTATAATGGTGCCCTGCAAGCCTAAAGGCTTGGTGATAAACTCAATGATTTGATGTGGGTAGAGAACAAAAAATGTGCACCATTTACACTCTGAAGTCTGAGGCCAGATACAAATGCAGCTCCAATGCTTAAAAAAATATTTGCTCACACGTGAGAAAAGAACATTCTGTTCTCCAAACTTGCTATGATCAACACTGATCCCCTATTTCACACCAATGGAAAATGTTTAGGGCTGCAGCCACAAGTTCCTGAATGCTATATTTATTCTAGAATATTCAAGTGTACAAGAAGCGACTATGCAATGAACAGTAACGTGCAAGAGCGAGTGTAATATTCCCAGAAGATAGCTATGTCCTGTAAGATCACTGCTGCTCTGGAACGTCCCAATACAAAGTCATGTTACGTACGTTTCGTTTTCTGCTCCATTGGTCTTATTCTTGCGCTGTTTTTGCTCGTTGCTTGCTGGAGGGGTCTGTCCCATGGCAGGTGGCTTCCGTTTTGCTAACATCTTTCGTTGTCTTTCTATCTCTTCCCGCTGGGAATTTATCCTCTCCTGTTGCCTTGGGGGGGGGGGAGAGGGAGGTGGGACAAGGAAGAGATAGACTATAAAAGCCACAAGTAATGGAAACGTGACTAACACGTACATAGCTATTCGCATTCTTCCCCTTCCCACAACAGATCAGCAAAATGATTTTCAAATCACTTCCACATAGGCCAGTGGTCACCAACCAGTAGCTCGGGATCTACTGGTAGATCTTGGAGCCTCTGACAGGGGATCCTGACTGGTTTGGCCAAGAGGCTCTCAAGTTGCCCCTCCCTCCACTACTGCTCATCTCCTGCCCTTTGCCTTGGAGCTGCCCCTCCCTCTGGGGAGCCTCTTGCTTGCTGTGCTGGGGAGGGGAGGGAGAAGAGGGCACTGATGTCAAGGTGCCCCCCCTCACTCTGTATCCTTTCTCCTCAGAGCAGAGAGGGGGCACAACAGGGCCTAGGATGGAGTTTTCTGGCTGCTTTTGGGAGTGGTGCAGGTCCAGGACAGGCCCCACTGTACCACCACCCACGAGCCACCTGTGGTAAGCAGGCCCCAGCTGGAGCCAGCTCCAAACACCTGCCCCAGTCATGAAGCCCCACCTGCACCCCAAGCTCCTGCACTAGCCCTGAGCCCCCTAGAACCAAACTCCCTTACAGAGCCTGTACCCTGAACCCGCTCCTACACCACAACCCCTTCCCCAGGCTCAGCTCAGAGCCCCTCTCACCCTCCAAATCCCTTACAAGGATTGGGCCAGAGCCTGTACCCCAACCCGCTGAGCCTGCCTGGTGAAAGTGAGAGAGACTGGGAGGGAGGATGAAGGGAGGAGGTGTGGGGCCTCAGAGAAGGGGCGGGAAGGAGGTGGGGCAAGGGGTTTTGGGTTTGAGGTAGAGCCTGGATTGCACTTAAATTCAAAAAGTGATCTAGTGCTTAAAAAGGTTGGAGACCTCTGGCTTAGGAAGAGTAAATCAAAGTGTTTTAACACAAAGCATGGAAAGACATGTCAATTGTGTGTGCGTGAAATCTTTCAACACACATCTTTCAGGCTGTACCTCCCTTAACCGTGACTCTCTGGTCTGGTAACATCCATGGTCTCGGGGGAGGTGGGGGGCTGCAAGCACAGGGGTGGCGCGACTCAGCCAGGAGTTCTGGCCCCTGCTGATGGGCAGTAGCGGGAGGCTGGCAGCGGCTGCAGAGTCCCGACCACCCCAGAAGCCGGGGAGCCCCAGTAGCTCCAGCCCGGAGCTCCAGCCTGGGGAGCCAGGGCCGGGCAGGCAGTAGTGGGGCTCGGCTGGAGTCCTAGCCAGGAGCAGCACAGGCCATGTTGGGAGGGACCTCCCCTCAGTTTGGCAAATCCCCTTGTTTGGGACCAGTCAGGTCCCGAGGGTGCCGGAGGAGGGAGGTCCAACCTCTAGTAGGCCAAGACAGGAAGTTGGGTTTGTCAACTACTGTACTTACTTTTCCGCAGGTCCCTAGAAGGATCTATTCTAGATCACTGTCTTCCTACTGTAGAGTTATGGTTAAATAATACAAGCTCTTACAGACAATTTCTTAAAGCAACTTAAAACTCAGCATATGCACAAAGTTTGAAAACCCTTTTTCAAACTCACCAAGGATGGATCATCTTACAAAATAAAGCTTATGGCTGCGTCTAGACTGGCATGATTTTCTGGAAGTGCTTTTAACAGAAAAGTTTTCCGTTAAAAGCATCTTCGGAAAAGAGCGTCTAGCTTGCCACGGATGCTTTTCCGCAAAAGCACTTTTTTCGGAAAAGCGTCCGTGCCAAGCTAGACGCGCTTTTCCGCAAAAAAGCCCTGATCGCCATTTTCGCAATTGGGGCTTTGTTGCGGAAAACAAATCTGAGCTGTCTACACTGGCCCTTTTGCGCACAAGCTTTGCACAAAAGGGACTTTTGCCTGAACGGGAGCAGAATAGTATTTCCACAAGAAGCACTGATTTCTTACAGTAGGAAGTCAGTGCTTTTGCAGAAATTCAAGCGGCCAGTGTAGACAGCTGGCAAGTTTTTCTGGAAAAGCGGCTGATTTCCCAAAAAAACTGGCCAGTCTAGTCACAGCCTATGTGAAGATGGAGATATGATAACAGTAACAGAAATTCTACTCTGATTGTTTTGGGGTACACAAACTGCCTGTCATTTTTAGTTCACACACACAGGGTAAAATTTTGAAAAGCACTCAAATGACTCAGAAGACTAAATTTCATCAGCTTTCAATTATAGTTTAGCATTTACGTCGCAAAACGGGACAACTTTCAAAAGCACCTCTGTTTTCATATGTCTCTTGCAGCAAAAAGCAAAGAAGGATTTCTTCCCTTTTAAGGAGATTCTACAGCACCTAACCATCTGCACACAGCTTAATGAAATGGGTTCCCAAGTCAAACCAGAAAGAAGTGACTCAACGCTAGGGGGTTGTGCTTATTTCTTGTGACACTGCACCACATCTTCTTGATAGTGGTATTATATGATATGGTTATGCTGCATTTGGTAAAAGACGGGTCACGTAAGGTCTCACTGGAAAAGTTATCATTTGCTGAATTCTATTTGTATGAACCCATCATTTTGTATCTGAAGTTATGAACACTGACTATGCATCTGTGGATACACCTCAGATATTCAGTAGGCAAAATGCTGCAGGTCTAGAGAGCTGACTGTGAAAAGCCTATTCAAGGTAATGGATCACTAGGAAAAACAACAGTCCTTAGGAGAAGTTTATCTGCCACTTGGAAACCTTTCTGAGAACTCTCCAGACTGCCTGTAGGTAACAGCTGCTATGACTGAGCAAGGTATGCAAGGACATGTGATCAGGCCACATGACTCTGGACTCATTTTGGAGTGTCTGTATTTTTCCACAAGTTGGTCAGGGAACTGGTTTTGGAATAATGGGTTCCTGCTATATGCTAATGCTAGATAAGGCAGGGAGTGACATCATCCATTGCTCTTCATTCTCCATGCAAGAAACCCCTGGAAACACCTAGGGAACAAGAAGTGAACTGGGGGAAGTGCTGGACGCCAACTGAAGGAATTTTTAGTCTGTGTATAAAAACCTGGGGATCCCAAGTATAAAGAATCTGCAAGCATGCTTACCGTATTTTCCGGCGTATAGGGCGACTGGGCGTATAAGACGACCCCCTATCTTTTTAATTAAAAGATAGGGTTTCATCTTATACCCCAGCGCCCTTCCGCCTCCTTTGCTCCCGGTGTCCCTGGTCTGCTGGAGATGGTCCCCAGCAGACC